ATGATAAAGACAAATGAATCAGAAAAATATAATACAGCTACTAAAAAACAATTGCAAGAAGAACAAAAGAATGGTGGTAATAATAATAATAATTACAATTATCAGCAATTATTACTGAACAAAGAAAAAGAATTTGTTGATTTATCAAATAAACTTGATTTGACTACCAGAGATTATAATCAGATGAAAGAAAACTTTGATATAACCATAAAAAGAATACGTAACGTAACAATGGAATTTTTTGATTCAAATAATAAAAACAATTGTAATAATAATGACATTGATAATTCATCAATAACTTATAATGATGTTGGTTTAAAAGTTATTGATAAATTAGAGAAAATTATTAAATCAAAAAAAGATGAGACGAAAATTTTAGAAAAAGAAAAATCAGCGTTGAAGGATTTAATTAGTCAAAAAGATTCTAAATTATCAGAATCGGAGAAAAGGCTGGAAGAATTTGAAATAGCAATTAATAACTTACAAATTGAAAAAGAAAATTTATTAAAACAACTCAATCAATCACCCACTAACATTGCTACTAATTGTAATAATAATAATAATAATGGTAGTAGTAACAATAATAGTGATGGTGTGAATATTAGCAATCTTGGAATTGGCATTACTGATATTGCCGATATTGGAATTGTTGGTGGGAATAATATTAAACATTTCAAACAAAAATCTGAACCAATCAAAGATTCTGAATGGACAAACGATGAATTCAGTGATCATGACAATAATGTTGTTGATGATGATCACAAGAAATCTAATAATTCTGAGGATTTAGAATCATCAGAGGATTATTGCGCGGAAGAAGCAGAAGTTGGTGGTGATAATGACGACGATAGCGAAGAATTTGATAATGATGGAATATTGGTTGATAAAAGACATATAATAAAAGATAAAATAAAAACAAAATCAATAAAAGTAAAGGTCGGTATTTTCTTTTATTCTATTCCATCCTGTTTTGTTTTGTTTTATTTTATTTTATTAATTAATTAATCGAAATTTTTCACATTATACAGAACATAAATTATTTATTGTTACCAAGAGATTTAATGTATGTATTTACTTTTTTAACTGTATATTTTATAAATATTTTATTTTTTAATACATTTGTATTCATATTAAATAAATATTAAAATTATAAACATAAAATTATTTTAAATTATTAAACCTAAAATTATTACTAATTAATTAATTGTTTGTTTCTTTTTTAAAATATTAATCATTAATTTTTTCTTTACTTCTTTAATATTATTAATTATTAATTGTGTCATCATTACTAATAAATGGAAAAAAAAATCATTAAAAATATTTATTAATTTAATTAAAAAATTCTTGCAATTCGGTTTGTTATTATTATCTTACTCGCTTTTAAATGATCATATTGGGAATACCAATTCTCTATAACAATGAGGGTAAAAAAAACCACTTGCACTTTTTCTATTCTATTGTTTGTGCAACATTTAATAAATGTCGTCGGCTTCATACATCAATTTTATTATTATTATTATTATTTAAAAATATTCAGCTGATTCAAGAGTTCAGGGAAAAAAAATTGCAAAATACAAAAAGTTGTTGATATGGAAAATTCGGATGTAAATTTAATACGTTTGTGGCATTCCACTTCAGAATTTATAACTGGTGAATTATCAAGATATCATATAAGTTTTGATTCATCAATACATCAACCAAGCACGGCATGGCCACCAAAATTCTTATCGGTAAAAGTTGCAAATATAAAACCGATAGTATATAGGTCATTTTCTTTATTTGCTCCTCACAATCTTTCAGTTTCTTGCTTAGAAACTTCAAAATTAAAAAAAAATCGTGGTGTTGGTGTGAGAAATCGAAGAGATAATAATGGTGATAAAGATGATGATGACGATAAAGAAATCAATCATTCCTTACCTGGATCATCATTAAAGTTCAAACCAGCTTTAAAATTAGGAGGAGTATGGCGTTTTCAATTAGAATTGATCGACGATAATGATGGAGATGGGAGGAGGAGGACGAAAGGAGACTGGACGTTAGATATAATTAGCGAAATCATCAGGAGCCCCAATTCAATTAAATATGAAATTTCTATTTTTGCAGAAATACCTGAAAATGCAACAATCGAAGATGAGTTTAAAATCTTTGAAGCGAATTATAATAAAACAATCAAGAAAGGCAAAAGTGTCACTACAACATTATCACCTTCTATAAAGTACGAATTGTTTACTACCAAAGATATTTTTAGTTTGCCTAATCTTAAAGAAGAAAAACGTGTACGACAGCAACAAAATGATATTCATTTGATAGTATTAACTCATGGTATACACGGTAGTATGTTGGATCAATTGTATTTGAAAGAATCAATCGAAGAGTTATATCCTAAAGATAATCATAATAGGGTTATTGTTTACTCGTCTGATGTGTTGCACATTTATACGGAAGATGGTATTGAAGAATGTGGTGAAAAGTTGGCAAAGAAAATTTTAGAATACATTGATATAACGAATGATAACAGCGATGATGGTGGAAATAGTGATGGCAGATCAAGGACATTTTCTCCAACCATTTCCAAAATTTCTTTTATAGGTCATTCTTTGGGTGGATTAATCAACGTATTTGTAGTCGGATATTTGTATACCGTAACTTGTGGAAAATTTTTTGATAACATCAAACCTATACATTTCATAACAATTGCAAGCCCATGGCTCGGATCTAGTGATCACCCATGGTATGTGAGATTAGGCATGAAGTTTGGTGCGCTTGGTCAGACCGGTAAAGATTTGGCTTTGGTGCCAAGATCAAGGGAACAACAGAATAAAGCAAGCGGTGCCGTAGAAGAAAATACCGAAGGCGGGGAAGACGAACCTTTGCTCTTGGCTCTTGCAAAACCAACCTCAGAGTCTCATATCGCTCTAGCAAAATTCCAATCCCGTACAATCTACTCAAATATTGCTAATGATGTACCGGTTTCATTTCGTTCCTCGTCACTGCATTTTGTTGATACTGCTAATTTATTTCCTAATAACAATAACGATGATGATAATAATGGTATTAATAGTAATGATAATGATGGTAATGGTAATAATGGTAATAATATTAATAATAGTAATAATAACAATGGCGTCGATAATTACCCGTATAAAATAACCTTAATGGATCAACTAAAGCATGTGAGAATTTCATTATCTCCACCTGACGTCTCATCAGACCATATAGACAGAAGTATAAAAAACTCTTATTCATCCATTTTACATGATAAGATTTATACACCAGATGAAATTTCATCACAATTTTTGTCATCATCTAACGATAATGATAATAATTCAATTGAAGTGAAGATTGCAAGATGTTGGCATTCTGATCTGAGTTGGCGTAAAGTTATTTTGTATATAGAGGGTGATGCTCATACTAATGTGGTTGTTAGAAGAAAATGGTTAAATGTTGCTGGTTGGAAAGTCATTCAACATTTATTAGATCAACATAAATTTTAAATTCACTTGTTTGTATATAATTCATAATTCATGTTAATAATATTAATTTAATGTAAAAATTCGACGTTTATTTAGTATAATAATAATTAATTAATTAAGTAAATAAAAATTTTTAATATTATATTCGAGAATCATTACAGAGAAGGGGAGAGTTTTGTTTTGTATAATAAAGATTAACGATAGTTAGAATCATTATAAACTTTTAAAAAATAGCAAAGAATATTTTTTCAAAAAAAAAAAAACAAGGAAATAAAAATTGTAAATATAGTTATATATATATATATACATATATATATGATAAAAAAAAGAAAGATCAAGTGCTAATTGGTGTACTAAACGCGGTTTCTTGTTTTTTTGCGTGTCTTTTCTTGGGTTTCTCTTCTTCAACGACCTCATTTACCTTTCTTTTCCTTCCTTTGTTACTAGTAGATACAGGTTCTTCTTCTTGTAATTCGTTTTCTACGCCTTTCATTTCATCTTCTTCATCAATACTTGTCAAGGTTTTTGTTTTTACTTCTCCCTTGGTAGTTTTAGCAGTAGTGCTGGTAACTTTGGAAGATTTAGTTTGTGTGTTTATTTCTGCATCAGCAACTGTATTGGATTCAGTGTTATTATCAATAGCCTTGTCACTCTCGTCATCGGCTGCTTTTTTCTTTCTTCCTCTTGTTGATTTGGTTTTGGTGGTTGTAGTATTAGCGGATGCGGATGGTTCAACATCCATTTCTACGTCAAAAATATTTTTATTTTCTGCAGGTTCATTATCAAAAGTTACTTCTTTCTTCTTTCTTCCCTTTGTTGGCTTAGTTTTAGTGGTGGTAATAGCACTCTTGATTATTTCTTTATTAACTTCAGTTCCTGGCTCGTTAATAGTTGCATCCATTGTATTAGATTCACCAGATTTGTCATCTCCATCAGCTATTTTTTTCTTTCTTCCTCTGGTTGAGGAGGTAGTAGTAGTAACGGTAGTGGTTGGAGATGATTTCTCAATTTCTATATCAGTATTTTTTTTATTGGTTTCATTGGAGCTTTGAGTATCGTCAACTACTTTTTTCTTTCTTCCTCGAGCAGGTTTGGTTGTTGTTGCAGTAGTAGTTTCAGGTGATTTTACTTGTTCTTCTGTTCCTTTTTTATCAACTGGCTTATTATTATTATTTTCATTAGAATCATCAATTTTATTACCATTACCATCAGCATTAACTTCACTTTCAACTGTTGCTACCTTTTTCTTTCTACCTCTATTAGACTTTGCTGCAACATTATTAGTATTAGTAACAGCAGCAGCAGCAGCAGCCACAGCAGCAGCAGCAACAACAGCAGCAGCAGCAGCAGTAACTTGTTCATTCAAATTTTCTACATCACCGCTAGTATTTACACTATTATCATTATTCGCATCATCTTTTCCACCAGAATTATCGATATCATTGTTATTACTATTTTCTAAATTGGAATTTTTTGGTTTTCTACCACGCTTGTTGCTCTTATTATTACTATCTTTACCACTACCAACCGTATCATTTTTACTATTATCGTTAACAAGCTTTGCCACTTCACCATTTTCATTATCATTAATATTATTATTATTAGTTACCTTATGCTCATCTATACCACTATTGTCTTGAACAATATTGCTATTTGTATCTTTTTTATTATCCTTGGTATCTACCAATTTTTTGTTTTGAATTCTTCCGCTACGTCTTGTTGGCTCCATTTTTAATTTGTGTCTTGTCTTAGCTTTTGGATATTATTAGGACAATACTCTTTATTATTGTAATTTGTTAAAAGACGCGAATATTTTTATGATGAATAGTTAGTTACACTGAACATAAATAAGGCATTTCCCAATTGTTTTCCAAATTTTTTGGGGCACAAGCGTCTTTCTGCCAAATAAATTATAGGTTCACAAATTAACCTATTAAACTTATTTATTTATTTTAAACACTTGATGATATATAGGCTGATTCAGGTATAGTGAGTGGTAGGAAAGAGAGAACGGAAAGAAACTGTAATCGTGTAGTTTTCCGCAGCATCATGAGAATATCCAATTTTATTGGTGGATTGGATGCGTGTTATCCTTATTTAGAAATCGATTTGGGTTTTTGCGGAAAAATACATGATAATAAGTCACTTGGTCGCTGAATAAATTCCACAGTCGCGTGACTTTAAAGTTTTGAGAAAGAGATCATTCTGCCAATAATTATTGGAGGAATTTTTTATGCAGAAATTTATTTATGCCATTATTATATAATTATAATGAGCGTGGGTGGTCTAAAGAGTTCCTAATGCACAAATTTTAAAAAGTATAAAAGTCACTTTCTGTCCTGCCTTTCAAAAAAATAACTTTATTGGTTGATAGAATAGGTCTCTCTCCAGCTTTATAGAGAATTCCATTTTTTTTTAGTACATATTACTATTACCATGTTCATATTCTGTGATCATTACTAAGTTTACGTAAATTTGGCAGTAAGGAATTATTTAACATTATGAATCTTAATTAAAATAAAATTGAAACAATGAGAATATTATGCATAAAGAAAATCATTTTGAATGGTTGGAATTATATGGCATCCTTTGCACAATGAATGACGTTATTTCATAAAATAGACCATTGATATCAATAATTAATATAAAATGCATCAAGTGACAAAAAGTCGGTCGATATTATAAAGCTTTTAGTCACATGAAACTATGCTAGATTATGTACATTGTAGTACATAAGATTTTTATCGTTGTGTAAAATGCGTTACTGGGAGAAAATTTTACAGGTTTGTCAATCACCAAATATAAAAACATAATAACAGATTATCATAATTATTATTATGCAAAGATTTTAGTATTTCCAAATAATGATAATATGATAAATGAAGTTATGGAATTGAAATATGATGAAGAGTGGTTGGCAATTATAAAAGCTACAAATCCATACTTTAGTACATCACATGTTCAAGCAATTTTGACAACATAAAATGAGATAAACAAGTAATCAATATATATATTTTGAGATTCAATTAATATAATTCCAAATTTTATATTACAGAAAAAATTCATGTTATTTTTATTATTGTAGTAAAATAGAAACAAAATTAAAATGGATAAAAAAGAAAATATTTCAAATAAAGAATCTGGAATTTGATTCCAAAAAACTTTCGACCAACAGCTCCAGCATATGATGATACTTTACTTTTCGCCCAAAAAATATCTTTCAACACAAGTAAGTAATTAAATAAACATGATTTATTATAAGAATTTGATGCCATATTTATTTGCCAATTTCTATATATTTTTATTTATTAATTGATAGAAACACTTTTTCTAAATCCACAAACTGTTGATTTCACAAACCTTTTAAATATTGAAAACAAAATTAATATAAATTAATAAAACTACATTGTCACCAATAACATTACCATCAATAATGCTAATACCAATACTACTTCTTTTATTAATATTGAATGATGTTTTTTTTAATTGATAAAAGAAAAAATTTCTTTGATTAAATGATTACATTAATCAATTTGTAAATATTATGGTTTCATTGATGCATTAGAAATATAATTTATATAATTATATATTCTCAAAAACAATAAAATATAGTTATTGTTTTAAATCATATGCGTGGGATAAAAAAATTTCAATTAATTTTTTTTATTTTGGTTAGAAACATTGAAAAATTATATAAAACATTATTATTATTTTTGAATTAATTGGATTATCAATTACCAATACAATTGTGTCAACTACAACACCAAAAAAGTCACCAAATAAAACAATTACAAAAACAATCAATAATATCAATTCATTATAAATTTATTTTATTATTTTCTGCCTTCCTACTATTGTTGTTGTTATTATTATTATTACTATTAATTCTATCCAAAATATCAATTTTTAATTATTCATCATCTTTACCATTATTAAACCTCACTGCATCCATAAATCATCAACAAAGCAATAATCATGATACATTATTGATTGATGACAATTCACTTCATTTGATGATATACATGATTATAGATAGGTGTCTAAATCGTTTTTGGGGTTGTCTAAATGTCTAAATTAATATAAATAGTAATGATTTGCTTTAAATACAACTAAAAGTCACGTGGATATACGCCAAATCCACAAAATTCAATAAATGGGGCATGCTGCAACAAAACCAGACAAAGTGAACATTATATCACAGAGAAAATTGTTAATGCATAAATTTTTGTTTATTATGAAATAGTTATCTATAATATGGTATATAGTAAGATAGATGATTAATTTAATAAAACAAATATGGTATAAAAGAATGTTTAATATTATGTTTTTAAAAAAATAAAAAGCATGAAAATTAAATTAATTTTAAAAAAATCATTATGTTGTTATTTTTCTTTACAAAAGTTAAACTATCCCATGAAAAAATTTTTAATTTCATTTGTGTGATATAAAATTTTAGTCCACTCCCAAGTAGATTTTAAAACTATCAAACAGTTATAAAAAATATAAAAAATCAGTATGAACATTCTGGTGAATGAATTGATATCAAAATTTTATCTTCACTGGAACAGCTTTTGTTCATCTTATAATCTCTTGAGAAATTGATTATTGAGAGATTCTTCATTGAAACCAACTATTCTGTTAACCATTTTCAAGCTTGAATAGAAGTTAAATACTGAACTGGATCCTGAATCATTTTTCTGAACATAAATTTAGTTCCATCAGTTTGAGATGCCAAAATTCTTTCTAAGTGTTCAACCAATTCATCCAGAGGTTTGTCCATTCCAAATCTAATCAATACTTTTTTGTTATCCAGAGATAAACCATTAAAGAACATAATCTAATAAAAAAATGATGGTTAGAGTTTGTGTGCTTGGCTCAACATAATTAATATTAACTAACTTTCCAATGTCTTTTATTTTCAATGGCACCAAACCTTGCCTTCCCCTCCCTACAGTAATCCTTGGTTCAGTAAGATCGATAACTTGTTTGATGATTTTTTCAAGGTGAACTACTCCTTTTCATAACATGTAAACAAGTGCTGATAATCCTCTCTTTGTCAATTGTGTAGTTTCTTTTAACAAAATGGATTTTTCAGGTAATATGTTTTCAAAAGTTTTTAAAAGTTCATCAACCAACCCCCCACCTTTCTTGTTTATGCTCATTTACATCCCTTTCTTTTCTAGGTGAATAATCTATGCATGTCATTAAAATTAAAAATCATGTGATACAATTGATATAACAATCAATATAAACAAAATTTTATTCAACCCAGAATTGCCATCATTATAAAATGACTTAAATCCTTTGATAAATTTTTACAAAAAATTTCATAAATAAATTAAAATAGCATTTTAAATTTGGCATAGTGTTTTTTGGAATGATATAATTGTTATCATTTCTAATTTGAATTGAATTGATTGATTAGTGATTAGTGAATGAATATTATTTTCAAAATAGAAAAAATTTATAATTATAAATTATAAAATTAATATTAATATTTACAAACCCAATCTAAAGCAGGACTTAACTTTGTTCTTTTTCCTAATGTTTTGATACATTTCTCAATGTCAATTTGTTTGAATCCAAGGCGTAATAATGTCATATAAACTATGTCTAATTCAGAAATCATTCGCTCATAATCTTTTGTTGATCTAATTTCCACATCATTAGTATTAACGTAATCCTCTTGTATATAATAATTATAACTATAATCATAATCATAATCATAATCTACCAATAATTAATAATTAATCAGCGAATAACCTATCAATTAATTAATTCATTATTTACCAATATTGTTTTTATTTACCATGATTTTCTACTTTTTGTAAATGCTCAATAATTTTATGTTCAATATTTGAATCAAGGCTCAAAATTGGCCAATCGTCAAAATTATTCAATTCGATTGATGATAATGATGATAATTCTTTGAAATATCTATCAACTTTCTTTTCATCAATGTGTTTTAACTTGTCTATCAATGAAATCAAAAATTTGTCTTCTTTATCTTCTTCTTCTATAGCCTCCTGATCATTAACACTTTCAACTACCATTGGCAAATTTTCTTCTTCATTAGTTTTATTAATTGATTCATTGTCATCAGTTGTTTCTGTATCTTTTATTTTTGAGGGAGTACTTTTTGTAGCAAATCCACGTGCTGGATTAGCGGGTTTCTTTTTCTTTTTTGATTTTGGAGGCATTTTATTTTTTTTTTACAATTTTTATTTCAAAATACGAAGTATCTATCACATGACCATGATCTGTTTATTATTAAATTAACCAATAAATATAAACATAATAATAATAATAATATCAACTACCCCTGTCTTTATGAAAATAATCAAATGTTTTCTAAATAAAGCCGTATCTCAAAATTTTTCATTCTGCAATGCAATTGGAAAAACACCGTATCGGTATACATTTGTACACAGTTGAGCATTCAAAATTGCATTGCATTCATTACTTTTTCTCACTTAACAGTGCTAATTTGTCAAGACAATCAAGAAGAACTATAGAGAGTGTGCATGTTTTTCACTAAATTAATCAAAAATGCCGTCTTTGAAAATATACAAGTACCAACCAACTATTACATACTAGATTATTTTAAAGTCCGTAACAGTGGAGTGTTGTTATTTAATGTATCATTATTATTGTTGCTGTTGTTATTATTATTATTATTATTATTATTATTATTATTATTATTATTATTATTACTACTAATTTTTTAAAAAATAGAAGGGTTAATGAAAAGATATAAGGATCCTTGAGTAATGTAACTAGAATCGTTGATTTATTTCGTTTCACTCATTCATTCATTAAAAAGAATTTTATTAGTTTCCTTCAAAAAATGATCTATGGTTAAATGAACTAATTATTGTTTAAAGAAAAAAGATCAAAATACCCTAATTGATATATAATGCATTACTAGTAGTAACAGATAATAGTACTGTCATTAATAGTTATGATTTAGTTATATGATGGTCATTTTTAATAATAATAAAATGCATTTAGCAATGCCTACTACGCATGGATTTCAATGCCGTTTGTTTGCATAGTATCTGTTTGATTGACATTTTTTTTGGTGTTAAAAGAGCAGGGTTGTTCTATGTTATTTGATGCCTCTAAAAATTTCCTGGTCCGTTCAATCTGTGAATCATCCGGATCACACGTTCCATCCTACTGATTATGCGAGTTTCCATTAATCCAACGGATGTATGGATTAATTTTTAGAGGTAAATGACGGATGAACGGATGACGAATATCCGCAGATCGCATCACTATCACTATATCTAATACCAAGGACATCAATATCAAAATTCCCTATTTGATATTACTAATGATAATTATTGTATATATAACATTGTATTGTATCAATGTTTGTTTTCTTTTATGGTTGGTTGGACGACGGATGATTGTTACGCGACCATCAAAAATATTCTAGTTGGTATTATTAATGGGTAGCAGGTAATAATATTACGTACTGTGGATCCGTTTGAAGAAAACAAAGATTAATACAGTGTTATATATACAATATGAATCGTTGATAATAATAGTATCATTCATCACCTGTTCCCATTAATAATATATATCAACTAGAATGTTTTTGATGTTTGCGTAACAATAATCCATCGTTTAACCATAGATCTGTCTAAGCAAACATTAATGCTACAATAAACATTATTGTTAGTAATTAAGTGACTAATTATTGTTACATGAGAGCTTTTCAATAGAAACGCGTGAAACTCTGAAAATAACATTTTAAAAAAGATCTACATTTCAAGGGTGACAGTTATCAAGAACAGTCCTTTTTCTGGTTCAAAATTCCAAGAAGCCTGATTTAATTAGTTAATTAAAGGAACCATTATAAACATTGTGATGAATATGATACAACAATATGGGGACAAAGGAAGGATTAAACAACAATAATAAAAATACCAGAGCAATTAATTGCAACCTATTCTTTGGTCTCTCTGGCGCAAAATCTATACTATACTTTCACTATTTCTATTAAGTCATTATTAATATCTTATTCTCCATCTCTTTATATTAACCCGATCATGAATTTTGATTTTTCTTATTATTATTAGTAATAATTTAATGTCGATCAAATACTATGCAGATGATTACTTTTTATATAATAATAATAATATATTTAGTGATGCAAGTCAACAACCTCTATTAACTGAAAAAATCCAACTGTTAACAATAAAAAGATTATTAATACAAATTATCAAAGAATGGAAGCTTTAGAATCGACCCAAAACCAAGAAGAGATAGTGCCTTTACAAATCCCTGTATTTGAAAATACATCTACAAATCCATTGCTTGACTCATCATCGCTGCCATCATCAAATGAACAAACCACTCATATTAATGCGCCAAATCAAAACACCAGTCAAGAAATGATTGAAAAAGCAAAAGAACCTATTAATAATAGTGAACCACTACCTAAAAATGAAGATAATGACAATATTCAAATTGAAAGTAATAATATGGAGCTTGTTTCTTCCAATGTTCAAGAAGTTAAAAACAACACAAATATTTCTTCAAATGAGTCTGGCCTTTATGAATCTCGAATCAATAGCATTAATAATAATGATAACAATAATAATATTTCTAATAATAATGATAATAATGATAATGATAATAATGACCAAGGTGATAGTAATAATAATAATAAGGAAGAGTCGATGAATTTTGAACATGGACAACAAACTTTACAACGACCAAATTTCAATATTGCTAATCCTAATTGGAATACCCAAACTAATAATCTAGATAATACTGATCAAAATTTTGATATAGAATATCACCATAGGTTTCGTGATCATTGCTCTCCAAATTCCCAAATAGGAAACGAAAAATCTGATGAAAATAATAATAATAATAATAATAATAATAATAATAATAATAATAATAATAATAATAATAATAATAATAATAATAATAATGCCAATAATAGCAATGTTAATAATCATAATCATAATAAGGCCCCATTTAGTTTGCGTAAATTATCAGATGCTGGATTCCAAGCTCTGCCTCCAGGATCTCGTTTATTTTTGGGAAATTTATCCACTCATTCGACTACTAAAAAGGAGCTTTATGACATCTTTTCTCCTTATGGAGAAATTTTTGAAATATCTATTAAAAATAGCTTTGGTTTTATCCAATATGATAATACTGAGAGTATTAAAAAAGCAATCGAGAAAGAGAATGGAAGAATTTTACATGGATTGAGATTAGGCAAGTTTTTTTTATTTTATATATAAAATTAATCATTAATTAATTAATATATCATTTAATTTTATAATAGGATTGGAGGTTTCTCATGGTAAGTTACATCACCGTTCGCAAAATCAAGATACTGGGCATAAAAATAATTTTGGGCATCATCATGAAAAACGTTGGAATCAAAGAGGCGGAAATAAAAATAATTGGCATAATAATAACAAAAGAGAATATTCACCCGCCAGAGGACATCATACTCAAACCCATAATAATTGGCATTATAATAAGGAAGGCAATGAAAGAAGACATAGCCGTGATTCATATAGGGAGGATCACCGTGACCAAAAAAACTCCCATAGATCTAAACCATATAGAGTTCCTAATAGAGATTATTCAGAACAAAAACAAAGTCGAGATAATAGGTCACAATTACATGACAAGGCTAATGATGAATTTCCTTTACCTAGAAGGCAAGGCAATGCGGTACCAGAATGTCAAATAATTGTCCTTGAAGAAGTTGATCGGTTGGTATCTTAAAAATTTTAATTGATTTTTATTGTTTGTTAAAAATTTTAATTGATTTTTATTGTTTGTTAAAAATCAATCGATCGTTATTATATATATGAATTGTTTTTAGGAATTATTTGTGGCAAGCAGAGAATGCTTTCAGAGAAGCAAAGATCTCTGTTCACACACTTCATTTATCTAGAAAACTTCAAATTCAAGCAGTTGTTCGTCAAATGATTGTAGAAGGCGTGCATGCGGTTGTCTTTTTAGAAAGAGCCCTTATAATGAATGGTAGGGTTAATATGCAAATTTTTGAACATCAACGTTCTCAAGATAATGTAAAATATGATGGTTAGTTTTTCTCTTTTTAATACTTTGATTATAAATAATGTAGATGAACCTATTTATTAACTTAAATTAAAAATTATTAGAATATAACAATATTAGAATAGAAGATGCAGTTGGATTATTGTCTCGAGCTCATGTTTCATCGGTCCCTAACAATATGTTAACTGGTGGGCAACAAATTTTACCTCAAACACAAAAGGCTGCCCCAATTATAGAACAGCCAAATGCATTAAATATTAATCCAATTTCATTAAATAATGTTAATTTTGCCGCACTTGCTAATTTGCTTGGTAGTTTACAACAGCAACAACAGCAACAGCAACAGCAGCCAACAGTCCCCCAAAATACACAGCCCATTCAAGTAGTTTCACCTGGTACCAATTTACAACATCAGCCAGGTTTTATGTCTGCACAACCACAAAATTTTGATGTACAACAAATACTTGGAAATTTGGCGCCTGCAAATGCTCCAAATCAACAACGATATACGCAAGTGTTCCCTCATAATACTATGCCTTTTAATACTTCAATGATTAACCAGCATAATGTTAACAATCCAAATGTTATGCCTCCTCCTCAGCCTAATAATACTCTTCCTTTACCTCAACATCAACCCCAACATGTTGCACCAAATTTACAACAGTTTCATAATCAAATTCCTGGTAGCTCTAATATCACAGATCTTATGACACAATTCAATAATTATAACAACTAATGTTAAAAATAATTGATATTGTTATTACTTATCGGTTTTGTAACAGAATGCTCCATATACAAACGTGTCATTTACTTGATCTTTAGTTAACTAGATAACTTCTTTTTTAATAAATAAATATAATATAATAATATATAAAAATGTATATAAAATTTCATGCTTTTCTTTCTAATAACTTCCCAACCAACTCCTTTTGAACTTCCATTTGTTTTTGTGCTTCGATAAGGGAATTTACTGAACGTAAACCATTAACTATATCTTTTGTTTTACTAAAATAAACTTCTTGAAGCAAATTACGCATTTTAAGTTCAATGTCTTCAACCATACGACCAATATTTGCGATATGTGCTGAGGGGTCATCAAATGGATATTCTGCCTCAAACTATATTTATAATGAATCAAAAAAGCCTTTAAATAAAAAATATTTGAACACATTAGGGCTGACAGCATAAAGGTGTTAAATCCATATTTAGTAATAATTGTCTTGGCTAAACTTGGTGTTATGCAGCCAGCCCTGGAACACATCACAAATTTTTGGCCTTACTTGTCTTGTCATACTTCCAGATAAATTCATATTTCCAAGATCAGATTTATTTGTAATTGTATAAAGCATGACAGTAGATGTTAATTTATATTGAGCTTTGCGACCACGCTCATTTGCTTTAAAGACATGAATAGAGTCCCATACACCTTTCATTTTACGAACGCCGTCACCAACTATTTAACAAAATTTATGACAAAAAGTTATAAAAAACATATATATATATGTGTGTGTGTGTGTGTGAATATAACTTGAACATAAAATAAATAAAAACGTTTCTCTTTTTGCCTTTCTTAAATAGTATAGCTCCGGAAAACCCATCTGGAGGATCATCCCAAAAATAAGCTGAGGAAACGCCACCTTCATAGTACCTATCAAAATTTAGATATTATAGAGTAATTTTATGGAAATAAAAATGATTGATAGATATGAAGCTTATTTTACATCTCTCGATATGTATTAAATGCCTCATTGGCAGCTACTTCTAATTTACGTATTCTTGAAGATGGGAATATGGCATCATCGATATATGGGTCATATTTATTTGACCAAGGAGAGCTATTAAAAAATTATATATAATAAACAAAAAATCCTGTCTTGAAAAAACTTTTTTTTTAACATATAAAATATTTATTATACCGATATGATTCTCCATCTTTGTTAAAGGCACATAAAATATAATCCTTTCCCTCTTTTTTACATCTACCAATTTTTAAAGGTTGGTCAACAGCGTTTATTATATCTTCATGAAGATGAGGTACAAGATCTATGAGTTGTAGAAGGTTTCCTTCAGTTTTTTGTGGTGGAAGACGTCTCATAAGATCTAGGGCACATTCTATAGGATCGCTCTTTAATAAAGATAATTACATAAGTATATAAGATTTTATATATTTTTATGTTTATATGTTAACTCACCATTTTAAAGACTTAATATTAAAAAGGAAATTTAAAGAAAATTGATAAAAAGTTAATTCCGTAGCTGAATCCACAAAATAAATACTACAATACGAGTATAATATGAATTCACTAAATTCACTATATATTACATGTATTACATGATAAAAATGTTTTTTTGATCCAATTAATTTGACAAAATTTTATATCAGTGAAATAATCTCCTTAAGACCCCAGCATAAATGAAATAATGATTTATTGCTGATTCCACAATTACTTCTAGTACAGTAACTTTATCTTCGTCCTAACAGCTGTTTGTACAACTGAACAGAACAAAAGCCAAAAAAAGAACGAATCTACTATTGTCAATAGTAAAAAAGATGATGGCCATAAATTATCTGTGGAAGAGAATGATATTGGTATAGGCACTTTCAAGGACTGTCACAACTGAAGGTTTAATATTATTCTAAAAAGAAAAAGAATAAAAGATTCTGGAGCTAATCAAATGTGAAATTACCAAAGAAAGATTTCATTACAGTGAAACAAGTCATCCCACAACTGATAGAAGCTGAGTCAGCATCATACCACATATATAGCTAATGCTGAAACAAACACATCTTTATTTGTTAATTTTGTTCATGATGGTAAGTCAACAGTCAAAAGAAAAAAGAAATAAAATTATTTTGATTAAATGAACCTTTCTTTTTTAATAGTAGTGATGATGATCAAAAATGAATTATAAAACAATTGATAAATTGAAGGTAATTTTTAAATTTATCTGTTTTGATATCTGAGTTGAAATTTCTATTACTATTATTATTATTATTATTATAAAGAAGCAGATTTTGATCCTGTGATTAATGATTGTAAGATCTATAATGTCTTTAATACTATATATTACAAAAGTAGTGAAAAGAATATGGAATTTTAGTAAGAAGGTGAATGTGACAATATATTAAACAGAAAAATCATTTGAAAAGAGGGATGATAATATCTTCTATTTTATTTTTCAACACAATAAAATGTTTTTGTCTGATTTCTCATTTCCCCGATTGAATGACAATATCCCAAATATCAATTTCATCTAATTCCAAGCCATCTCTTTCATAATTATAAGCATGGATTTTTTAATTGTTGTAATGCCATTAGTAAAGCTCTAAATCAGCTGAGCTCGAGTTTGATGTTGCATTAATTTTTTTTAGGTAATGATTAATTTACTATTCATATTTATTTATGGACAAAAACAATTTAAGAGCCTATTTTCTTGAACTCAGCTCAAACTTGAAATTCAAATTTTGAGCTTGCTCAACTTAGAGTTATCATTTGAATAACAAATAATTTGAATAAATGAATAAAACAAATAAAATAAACAAAATGAATAAACAAATAAAACATTGTTGAAAATGATGCCTCTTCAATTACTTCTTCATCAGGCATAGTGGAATGTGTTCAAAGAAGTGAAATGCGGAGCCATTTCACAGTTGTAGGATGGAAAATGCAAATTCAAGTTATTTCATATATTTTAATTAGATTTGAATTTCATTGATTAATTCCAAGCCTTACATCTAGAAGCATGAATTTATTTTATAAATTTAATAATAATAATATATGTATAATTAATAATTAATTTGTTTTTAGTATTCTATAGATTTCACATTCTTTTATCAAATGAATTTTTCTATTTTTTATTTCTAAATTTAAATCATTCGCATAAGAATCCAAGAAATTATAATAATAATCATAACAACAATAAGGTTCATTATTAATATTGTTATATAGTTGTATTCCCTGAAAATTTATAGTTTCTTCATGAAATTATATATTATCAATAGTTTGGGTAATCTTTTGTTTTTCATGATACATTGCATGTTTTGGATCTATAACTCTACTTAATATTGAATTATTTATCTGATTTTCATCAATTTTGAAAATAAAACTTTTATCTGTTTCAATCCAATATTGATGACAGAGAGATTATTCATGCTAGCTACCAAACGACATCACTTCAGGGATATCTGGTCATTCTTATTCCAATCTGTTGCAAGCACAGATGAGATTATATACAAAAAATATTTACAACCATACTACTTAAGATGTCCCTACAAGCAACATAGTAAAATTAAAGGTGTCCTAACTAATAATTAAAGGTTGGCCAGACCATTAATCATCAGAAAGGATCATGGAACAATTCACAGTAGCTTTTCCTCTTTAACTATGCAAAAATTCGTAATAAGGTAAAATGTGTTTATTTTATTAACCAAAGGTTGTTACAGGAAAGTTATTAATCAATCAATCAATTAAATACTTCTTGGAGTAATACAGATAATGTGATTTGTGTCTTAATTTAAATTTGCAAGTGCAACTGTAACACAAATATATTTTTTTTTATCCATACAGGCCGATTTGTTTGATCTGCAGATCAAAACGTTTAAATATCACGCGTGGTCGTTACACAGTTATTTTTATGAAAAAATAAACGTTGTTGAGCAAGGTTCAATTCAAC